CACGTACTAGTTTTAATCGGCGAGGTCCTCAGGAGCGAACGATGTCGCGCGCAATTCCCTCCTAATTGCACGAGTGTTCGTATGTATGTATGTGTGCGCGTGCGTGCGTGTGTGTGTATGTGTGTACGTTCGATTCCACTTGAACCAGCGAACGTAATTACGCGCGATGGAGTACGCGCGGTCGCGTTCGTTCGTTCGTTCGTTCGTTCCCGGATGTCTTCAAAATGAAATATCGCTATGCTCGGGCGCTACTATTCTGTGATCCTAAGAAGAGATGTTACGTCGTCTTGACGCATTTTATTCATCAGCGAATGAAATCGCATTTATCGAAAACGTTCTTTCGAACGGTATCTCGGTGTGTGCTCTGTATATATTATATATACTATCATACACACGCCCACGCAACGCATGCCGCGTGGTTATACGTTTTTAACGCCACCGCGGGGTACTCTTCTTAACGGAGCTTCCCCGTTACATATATATATTTAATTGTATGTAATTACGATTTTTTATGCATTTTGCAAAAATTTAAAGATGCGCGAGGGAGAGTTCTGCGAAACAGAACGTAAGAGAAAAAGAAAGGGAATGAGAGAAATGAGGAAGATTGTAGCGAAAGGGATATATGTAGAAAGAGAGAGACCACGAGGGGCTGCAGGTGCGAATAGAAAGGGCGAAATTCATTACGATTAAATCGTGGCCGGTTGAGGTGTCAAACGAATTGAAAGTCGAGTCTTCAAAGAAAAAAAATTCAATCGAGGTCTTGCTGGGAAAAGAGAGATTATTCAGAAAACGAGGGCTAGAAGAGGGCTAAAAGACCATCCTCGATCAGATATTCTGAATCTCGCGTGCAGAATTTTCAGAAGCATTCCTTAAACCGGCTTCGAATTAAACGTCGTGCAAAAGTGCCTTTGGTTGTGCACTCGGTATTCTTTCGGTATTAATCTCGTCGAGTACGAGTATCCCGTCTGATTCCTTTTCCCTTCACCCTTGTCCTTTCCCATTTCATCTACCCTTCTGCCCGTTGTGCCTGTGTGTGAACGACTCGTACACGCGCGCGAACGATAGATGAACGTTTCCCCCCCTCCTCTCCCGGGGGGAGGGGATATATCGACTAAGTTGTTTCCCCTTGAATCTCTGTGATCGCGAGTACTTTTGTCGAAAAAGTATGGCTTTCCGTTGCTCGATCTCCGTTCCGTTTTGTTCGTTCGTTCTTTCTCGACTATGAAAGGCTGAAAAATCGCGAAACTAATCTTACTTATATATATATACATATATACGTGCATATATATATATATATTATATATAGTACGTAAGTCTCTCTCGCAAATTAAAATCTAAGAGTATACATCTTCTTAAAGCTAAGACTTACTCGTGTATTATCTCGAATTGTAATTTCATTGTTCACCGTGGATAGAGATTCTACGAAGCACGTAGCGTCCCTTTCGCGCCCCTCGTCGCGCCGAAGGGAGGCGTCCGCTTCGGATACAGGAACGTCCTCGAATAAGTGGTACAATTTCATCATGTTACTTTACGTATGTAGCGTCGCGTGCGCGCGTAATCGCGCGCGCCTACCCGGCCGCGAAACTTTTAATATTTAAACGGGTGCATGTGTGAGCCGTAAACCATCGATCCCGATTTACGTAGCGGAGCTCATCTTCGGGGGAAGACAAGTCCGCCTATAGAGTTAACGCGTCTGTTGCCGCGCAGTTATTTATTTCGCGCCGGGCCACCCTTCCAGAGTCCTAGGGGCTAGATTCCTTTTGGGTGTTCAACTTTTCATTCGCCTAGATTTTTCATTCGGCTCGCACAGGATGTTTCACTTGGGGATTATTTTTCAGCTATCAGATCCCTCGATCGGAAGTCGATCTTCCCCATCCCTTTCACATTTCCTTCTCAGTCTTCTCTCTCTCTCTCTCTCCTCCCCTTGCATT